TTAATATAAAAAACAATTAAATACTATAAAAATCGTATTAAAATTTTTTTTACATATTCTTTGTAATTTACTATTCATAAAACAACATTTTAACTTGGTTAATAAATGTTTTTATTTCTCTTCTTATACACCTATTATTTAATTAAAATACAAGTTAAAATGATGATTTATATAACAAAAACTTTTATAGCAAAATAGAAAGTAGATAGTGTTTATATTAGATATATATATATATATATATATATAAACTCGATTGGATTTTAAGGTTTTGATTTCAGTTTCAGATTCTCATAGTTAATTAAATTTATTTATTTATTTTCATATATTTATTTGTAAATCAATTCTTCTCAAACCAACATCTTAAATACTTCTTTTATTTTTTTTCATTTGCACTCAAAGTTAAAAACATGAATTAGAGAAATAACTTATAATAATAGAATTTTCATTTGAATTTATACATTAAAATATAAAGAAATGACACATAAAAATATTTAAATTATAAATATATGTAAATTTGGATAAATTTTTTGAATTTAATGCTAATTCATAAAACCAACAACTGAAACCAAGACTAAATTTATTAACTTTTTTTTAATATTTCTTTGTCAATTTAATTTTTATCAAAAGAATGTCTTGAATTTGTCAATAAGAATAATTTTTTTAACTGTAGCATTAATTAGTAGCTCTAAAATCAAGTTCAAGGTCTTATATTCCTAAACAATTTATGTCTTTATTAATTAGCAAAAAGATAATTATTTTTTTACATTTTTTCCTCTATATCCAAGACTTAAAACGTAGGTTTGAATTACAAATTTTCATATAAATTATCATTTATATAAGGCACAAGTATAGCTAAAAAGAATTAAAAATTTTCCTATTAAATAAATCTGAAATCAAATGAACACTATAAATTTAATGCCAAATTCACAAATTTCATCATTTGAATGTGCATATAAGTAACCTTTTCACCTCTTAAAGGTTAACCTTTTCTTTATCATGAGACTGATGCATATATTAAAAGGATTATTTTTTTTTGAAAGATAAATAAATTTATAATCAATATTGAATAATGAATTTTTTTACCTTTTCACATTATTTAAATATAGTTAATTTATTAAAATCTCTTATATTTTTGTTTTAAATTTGTTTGTACCTTATTCCTTTAAAAATTGATCAATTTTTTAGTTAAATTGTAATATTCGTAATTTTTGACATTCACTAGAATTTCATAAACAAAATTTTAATTTTTTTTGTCAATATGATAAAGGGTTCAAATGGTATAGTTCTTTTATTGGTAGCTTGGAGGATTAGAATCATGACTTTTGCTTTCCAATTGGTTGTTTTTGCATTAATTACTACTTCGTTAATCTTATTGATTAGTATACCTATTGTATTTGCTTCTCTTGATGGTTGGTTGAATAACAAAAATGTTGTACTTTCCTGTACATCTTTATGGATTGGATTAGTTTTTCTAGTGGGTATTCTTAATTCTCTTATTTCATGAATCTGCATCCAAAAATGACCCCTCCCATGAATTTTTCAAATTTTGAGACACATTCAAATTCAATAAAATAATATAAAAGTATAAATTGCCAAAATGAAAAAAAATTAGAGGGGGGTCAGTCAAACTTCTGTAATCTATAACTTGAATGAAATAAATAGAATTTGAATGATAAATAAAAAGAAAATGATAAAATAGAAATTATAATAAAAAATGAAATTATAAAAAATTATATATTATTGAATTAATAAATTATTATTATTCTTATACTTAAATTAAATATAAATTATTATACTTATTTATGCTGATAAATTTAACACTTTTGACCCTCCTTTTGCACTTTTCTTATTTTTTATCGGTAAGAGTGAAAAAAATACAAAATTAAAAAATTATTTCAAAATTGTAATATTTGGTTTAGTTCGAATCAATTTTTTTTTTATTTGGTTTGGATTAAATTCAAATATTGAATGTATATATTAAATTCATATCGGATTTCAAATTGAGAGGTTAAAAATCGAAAAAAATAAAACCAAATCAAATTATATATTTTTATTAGTTTTTATATATATTTTTTAAAATTTTATAAAATAAAAATAATAAATTTATTTCAAAGTCTATTTAAATATTTTAAAATTTTATTTTAAAATAATATATAAAAAATTAAATTTTAATTACTGATAAACTAAACCGATAAAATTTTATTTAGTTTGAATTGAATTGTATGAAATTTTGATTTGAATTCAAATCAAATTTAAAAGATTTATAATATTATGTAATATCTAAAAAAATTAAACTAAATTTAATTCAATCCGAACTGTTATCACTCATACATATAAATCATAATAGACTGATCTCTTCAAAAATCTAAACAATACTTCATAATTATGGCCTTTTTTTTTTCTTGACTAAGCATTATCTAACCCTTTATAATTGGCATAAGTTTGAACTCCTAAACTTTCATTTGGCTTGAATTAAACAACAATATCAAGTAAGTTTAAAGGCTTGTTCAATTAAAATAATTTTTGTCCGTTAATTCATATAATCCATTTAAGTTTTTCTATAAGTTTTTTACAATAGTTGTTCTTAGAATTTCACCTTAGATTACAAAAACTGATCATCAGCTTTGATAGAAATTAATTAAGTTGATTTTTCAAAGTTTACATTTGATATATATCAATGTATATTTATTCATAATAGCCTCATAAAAAATATTTTTATTTTTTTATTTTTCTTTTATAGCTATATTTGATATATATTTATTGTAATTTTAATTATTATTTTTTTATTTTTTATAACTCAAAATCTTTTTTATATTAGAGGACATTTGGTTCGGAAAAAATTAAATTACCTTTGGTAATTTCATTCTCCTTACAAGATTATTAGTCTTCTCATTTCATTGAATTCTGAACTGTTTCATTAATGCATAACAATTGGATAAGAGAGAGGAGGAGCTGAAGAGAAATATTTGAGTAACTTCTGGAGTAATTCCGATACCGGTTAGAGGCGGCGTAGATGAAGGCAGCAGTCGAAATCTGGAAAAGAATGGTGGTGGCCACTTTGATTTTTTTTTTTCCTTTGTAAAAAATCCCAATGTTTTTTCTTTTTTCACAATTAATTAAAAATTCTATTGCTAAAAATTTTGAATTTTGTTGAAAAATTATCATTAATTTATTTTTTAATTTATTTTTAATATTTCATGTCAGTTTATTTTTCTTTGTCTTTTTATATTTAATTTCAAAATATACCAAGATATATTAAAATATAATAATGATATTCAGTTTTATAAAATTATACATATATGCATTTTTTCAATTTAATTCTTTAGTTATCAAATTTTTATGTCTATATATGAAATTTGTGTAATTATTATGCGAATTTAACTTTTTCCTCTCATTTTCATTATTTAAAATTGAAAAGTTTTTATTCCAATCTAGTCAAAGATGTTTGTTCGGTCCTTCTTCCCTTTCAATGCTAGAATTTTAGTTACCGATCTAATAATTTAAAATATAATATAATAATATAATATAAAAATAATATAAAAATTATTAAAATAATATAATTTAAAATTTTATTCAAAAATTATATATAAATTTAATAAAATAAAAATATATTTTTTATATTTTTATATTAATACGAATTATAATATATTATTTTTATATAAAATATTATATAAATATATAAATTATCAATATTTTATACAATATTAATATATAAATTATCATATTTAATTGTGTCCTTGTAATACTAACCACAAGCTCCTAAAGTTCGGGAAAACGAAATAGAAACATATCTATGGTCCATATGGTTTAGAACTTTGTTTTGTTTCCTTAAAATTTTCCCCTTAATTTTATATTTTTTATTGAATAAACATCAATAGTTGATTTTAGGACCAGTAGATATTTTTACTTTTTATTTTTTTGTTATTTATCTTTACTTTTAATTTTTGTTTTTTTTTTCTTTTTTCATTCTATTAATTTTTACTAAATGTATACACAACCTTACTTCTCAAACAATATTTTCTGTTGTATTTTTGCATGACCATAAATACTTTTAATTTAATTTTTCAATTATTATAATTATAAAGATTTTATTTAAACAATAAATAATAATAATAATAATAATAATAATAATAATAATCTTTTTTCCTAAATAATTATCACTTGAATGTTATAATGAATAATAATTAACTAGAAATTATTTAGCTCAAACATTATGAAGACTCGAAACTTTAAATGTTAGAACTAGGTTAGGCTCATTTTTCCAAATCTTATTTTTTTGTCCAAATTTATTTAACATATTTGTTAGCATATCATCTCAAATATCAAGCTAACCTTTGAAATCGAGCAGGTATAGCAACATTTAAATAGATCTACTTAGAAAATGGATAATCCAATTACTGGACAAGTTTAGAAACAATTACTATTGACCATTAAAATTTATATACATATTTTGAACTTCTCAAATATTAAAAATCATATTCTAACACTTTGATCTGAAAAAAAAAGAAGCAAATATAAATCTTTGAATTAAATATGATATACTTATGACTAAAGTCAAATGTTTCAATACATATTTTACGGTTAGTTATATTGAGATTAAGATTAATTTGATACTAAACTATGGATAAATATGAAGTTATCTATTGTAATTTAATTCATTAAAATTTGTCATTATACTTTTAATCTTATTAATTTTTACATAACAATAAAATTGATGAAAATTTACCACTTGCATTAACATAATATTTCATGAAATATTTTATCTTTTATCTTTTAATGTTGAATTTTTAATATTAGAAATTGAGTTCAAATCTTAACAAATTTAAATAAAAATAAAAATTTAATAATAAAATTTAATATATTGAACTAATAATAATAATAATAATAATAATAATTTTTGTCCTAACTCGTCTCCAAAAAAAAAAAAAAATCCTAATTGCTTAACTATCAAAGAGAGCTACATTACTGCCCATGTATAGGGCATAGAGAAAGTACCAACCATGATGCTCTCCGCCATATCACCTCTCCCTTCTTCAACCTCTCCTCTGCCTAACTTCACCAAAGCTTCCCCTTACTTACCAACGCTAACTGCAACTGCCCATAATTTTTTCTCCTCGAGGAGGAGCAGGAAAGGAAGAAGGACCCACCGCACCTTGATGGAGGTCTCTTCCTCCTCCTACTCCTCCTCATCACCAGAAAATCAGACGGCTCTCGTAGTTCTATCAGAATCACAGGATGACGATGGAGCGGAGGTTGTTAGAAGATTCTACGCAGGAATCAACGGCCATGATCTGGCATCGGTGGAGCTCTTAATAGCGGAGAAATGCGTGTACGAGGACCTTATCTTTCCTCGTCCATTCGTTGGTCGCAAGGTAGCTTAGCCAAATGCTACATTTTCCCTTCCCTCTATGCACATGCAAGTCACGTGAGTTTCTTTTTATTTTAAATCTATTTGGATAAATTAATTCTGGTAATTAATTGCCTTTTGTTTATTAAACGAGATAAATCTTATCTGAATAAAATATTTTAAAAATTAATTTGTTTGTGTTTTTACATGTTATTATTTGCCTTTTATTTTAATAAAAAAATAAATTTTATTTAGATACAATATTATAAGAGAAATTATTTGATGAGAGTGAATTTTTTTAACAATGACTTTAAAATAATAACATATACCTTATTTTTTTAAATTAGTTTTTTATTTTTTAAAATACAAACTAAAAAACATGTATCTATCTTAACTTTGTTTGTAAAATTAAAAAAAAAATTTATCAATGTAATTGGTAATTTCTCAAACTATAATTAAAAGAATTTCTAATTAAAAGTACTTAGAGATGTAATTTTTATAACAAAATGCATGATTTATATTTTTTATGAAAAATAATTATTATTTTAAAATGGATAGTCATTTGCACGAGAATATTTGATGCAATGATAAGTATGTAGAAACTTTTTGTATAAAATATTGCATCTGTAATCCTTTTCAAAAAAAAAAAAAAAAAAAAATATAGTTAAACTCTATTCATTGAAATTAAAAATTTAATACTCTATTCAAATCACAATTGGCGTATTATAAGCCCATGATAACTAAAATACTAGTCATGGAAATTTTTGAGTCTTTAATTTATACTTCTCTGTTATAGTCATTGCATGCATGATTGAATTGTTGAAGAATTAATTATATATATATATATATATATATGGTGTTTGTAGGCAGTAGTTTTTCTATTACTTATTTAGAAATAAATGTGTGAAGACAACTATTCAATATTTTAGTTTTGCTGCCGCAATAATTTGTGCTTGACATTAGAAAAAAAAATTAAAATTAGATGAATATATATTCCATGCCATTTTAAACAGAAGTCCTAATAATTTACAAAGAAAATGTTTGCTAGCTTCCTAATAAAAATAGTTTGTACAAAACTTTAGTTGATTAGCTGATTTTAAATAAAGATTATTATAAATTGACGAGGAAATTTGAAATTTAAAATTAACTTAAGATTTAATTTAATTAATTCATATAACTTTACTTGAGAGATAGTATGTTTAAATTTTAAAACCCATAATTCTTCTCCCTATTTTTAAACTATGACCTCTTTTATATCAAAAAGAAATTAAAACTTGAAAAAGCGTGTTTAATTGATCATCTTGTATCCATTTAACTATAAATAACCCTTTAAATATAATATATGGAATTGCTCTCAGTTCTTTAAGTTTCATTTTCAAGTGAACGGATTGAAGAAAATTCAATCATGGTGCAGGCAATCTTAGAGTTCTTCAAAAGTTTCATTGATTCGATAAGCATGGATCTCCAATTTGCTATTGATGATATTTCTGCTGAGGATTCATCTGCTGTTGGAGTTACTTGGCATTTAGGTAAACATACGCCTTTTTTAAATTTTATTTTTCCTTTCCCTGAACTTTTTATTTTCCTTAAATTTTATTACCATCTAACAGAATGGAAAGGAAAAGCTTTTCCTTTTAGCAAAGGTTGCAGCTTTTATCGGCTAGAAATGTTGGAAGGCAAAAGGCAAATAATGTAAGTGATAACTGATGTCTTTCATGTTGATACCTGATATATTACTCATTGTGTCTTTAAACATTTTCTCTCAACCCAACAACCATGTTTCTCCATATTCTTATTTTCATTCTTGATCGAGTTTCAATCCAAAGAAAAATCGAGACTAATTATTTTCTTGTGAACAGTTATGGAAGAGATGTTGTTGAACCTGCAATCAAACCTGGGGAGGCAGCTTTGGTATGAAAATCACCCTTCATTCTTCTAACATTCTTAAACCTGTGGATAAATCCCAAATTAAGAAAACCAAACATCAGAACACTAACTCGTAAATAACTTTAACAGAAAAACTCTATGTACAAGTAATTTTCCCAACAGAGATAATATTTATAATAAGGAATCATATTAGTATTTTTAGTAACTAGATCATTGTTATTAGTAACTAGATTGTCGTTATCCTTCTTATGGCAAGGAATGGGAATAATGGTTGGTTTGTTCGAGTTTACAGGGTGCGATCAGGGCTGTAACATGGCTGTTGCAACAATTTCCTCAGTTGGCAGATCGGTTATGAAGGAAGCTATGCCGGAGTATGAACATACAATTGATAGGCTCAATTGTAATAGCAGGAACCCAATATCTTGCATCAAAATCCATGTAGAAACAAATAACTAAGAGGAAGGGGACTCTAGCAAATGATTCCCACCACCTTAATCAAAAAGTCTCAAAAGGTTCTTGTATTTGTATATAGAAAATTTACCCCCCCAAAACCTTTCTGTCTTAAACTTATTTCAGGTTTTCGATTTTGGATCGAGTTATTTTATGATTTTATGCAATTCAATGGTCTAAACATCTAACTCTGTCATCCAAAATTGTCATCCCAAATTAATGTGAGAGAACTAATTTCATAAATCACCTAAGATAAGGAGGCCCAAAAGTATTCAAGAAAAAAAAAAGCCAGAAATCTCAAGGAATTATATTCTTTCATCCAGTTAGCAAAACAATTAAACTGCAAAGTTGTTTAGGAAAAAGAAAAAAAAGTGCAAAAAACAAATGTGGCTGAAGGAAGACACCTGGTATCGCCAGATGCAGTAGACATGATAAGCAACTTTAAGCCACATTGCTTCCAGATCTTGCTCTGCAAAAACTGAATAGAGCTCTCATCCTTCATTCTAAGGATTTCAAGCTTTTGGACGTCCCTTTGTAAATCCAGCAAATGAACAAATAGAAGTCAATTCCTAACAAACTCACTTACAATCCTATAGTACATGCTCATAGCAGCAACAGGCTGCTGTAGAGACACCTCAACGGCTTCACTGCTCGGTGCATCCTTTCCAGCTGAATCTCAAGAATAACACAAAAGAATTACCTTGTAAACCTTCTAAGCACCCTCAGAAGATCACCTTCGCTTTTCCAAGCTGGTAATTTCTAAACTCTGCTGTGAACCATATGTCATTGGACTGGTGGTGTTGTTGGATTCATGTTTTCCCTATCAAATGATGCGGTCTTCAATTTATACGGAGAAAGGGAACTAAGATATCTAGCCGTTTCCTTCCTAAATACTTGAAACATTGCCACTATTCAAAATAGAGGAATAATAAAAAGCCCAAACGCCTAAGTTTGCAGCATGTATTTTGTTTCTAGTGAGCGAGATGGGATGTCCAAAGACATTTATGTTTCAAAAGGTACATTGCAAATAATTGTCATCGACTCAACATGTTAACTTATAGCAGTTGAAGTATGGCAATAGCTTACACAAAACCTTTGATTGCTGAAAAATAGTTGAAGACTAAGAATAATCAGCTTATATCTGCACCAAATTTGAGTAACCAAAACTGAGAACAGATGGAAATTTGTTACAATAGTTCCATCATGCTCCAAGTAAACAAAATTTTGAGAACCACACAGATTTGTACTCTGGTAGCAAATACCTATTTTCATTCAATTTCTTCAAGAACTTCACTATCCAAACCAAACTTGTCCCAAGTAACATAACCACCATCCCTCATGAGCTCAGTCAGTCCATCCAATACTTCGTAAATCTCCTGTGTATAAGGATTTGATGTGTCCCCCACAACAAATGGAGAAAATACAGATCCCACATCAACCCAAGCACAACCAGGAGACTTCTTTACACCCAAATCTCTCATGAAAGTCCTGACTTTCGCTAACTTGCTCCAACAACCAGCAGCAGCATACATGTTAGCGATCAACACATAGTAACCTGAATTTTCAGGTCTGAGTTCCAGCAGTTTCTCAGCTGCCCATTCCCCTATATCTGTATTTCCATGGATCCTACAGGCTCCCAAGAGAGTGGCCCACATGGCCGCACTTGGCTTGTATGGCATTCTTGTGATGATTTCCTTCGCTTTATTCAACAAACCAGCCCGTCCATAGAGGTCGATCATGCAAGAGAAATGCTCAAAACCAGGAATTATACCATAGAAACTTTGCATCTTTTCAAACCACATTTGGCCTTCAATTACTAGGCCACAATGACTGCAAGCAGATAGAACAGCCACCATCGTTACATTATCTGGTTTGATCTGAAGGTTAATCATCTCTTTGAATAGCTTTATAGCAGCTTGTCCCTCTCCCTGCATTCCATATCCGGCAATTAGAGAAGTATAGGTCACTTCATCCCTCTTTCTCATCAAATCAAATATGCGCTTAGCCACGAGAACTTTTCCTGACCTTGCATACAAAGCTACAAGAGCATTCCACAATAATAAACAGTCCTCAAAAACTTTGCGTCGGGTAATGTAGCAGTGGAATTCTTTTCCATGTTGCAGATTTGCCACTCTAGTACAAAGAGGCAAGATACTGGCAATTGTAACATAATTGGGTTCAACCCCAGAATGTAACATCTCCCGAAATAGGAACGATGCTTCTTCAGATTGATCCATATGGGTGTAACCAGAAAGCATTGAGTTCCAAGTAATTATAGTCTTTGCTTCTACTGACTTAAACAAAATATAGGCATGCCTTAGGTCTTTGCATCTAGAATACATTGTAATCATTGCATTTCTAACATTCTCAATCGCATCACAACAACTCCGAATTGCAGAACCATGAATCTCTTTCCCCAATTTCAAAGCCCCAATATGTGAACAGGCCCCCAACCCTATGATCATTGCCACCGGATCCAAATGAATGCCACTACTTCTCATCTGAGAAAGCAACTCCAGTGAACCCTTAAAATTCCCTGTTCGCAAGCACCCTCCCGCAATAGTATTCCACGTTATAAAATTCAGTTCAATACCTTCAGCCCGCATGCAATGAAAGAGCTCAAATGCTTCTCCCCACATGCTCTTGGAGGCATAACAACTGATAATTGTATTCCAAGAGACATCATCCCTCTCCACCATTTTGTTAAATAAGTCACGAGCAACATCCACTTGTCCAAATTTTCCATACATGGAAATCAAAGCATTATGCACATACAAGTTCCAGTCATGACAACTACCATTAATTGAGTTATGAACCATCCTCCCAAAATCAATATCCAATTTCTCACCACAAGCTTTCAAAACAGATGGGTAGGTGAAACTATCTGGTCTAATCCCCTTATTCACCATCTTTCTATAGGCAGATAGAGCCTCCTCGAAAAACTCATTCTTAACAAAGGAAGATATAAGCAAATTCCATGGTAATGGGTGCAAAAAATTACAATTCTCTGTGACAACTTGGGCATCATCCAAAAGATTAAATGTTGAGTAAAATGTGATAAGCTTCGGAACCAGAAGAGGATGTTGCTCCAAACCCAAGGAGATAATTAGGGCATGAAGCTGTTTACCTGGTGGAAGCGATTTATGGTTGGTACAGGATACAAGAAGAGAAGAGATGGGCTGTAAGATAACATCATAAGAAGTAGTGGAAGAGACATGGAGCTGAATTAAAGAAAATGATTTGAATGCTTTCAGTAGATGTCCTTCGGTTAGAAATTCCTTGAGAGACGTAAGAAAGTTTTCTAACATGAATTCATAATCGGTTGTAAATGTTTTCAACTCATGCCTTTGGTAATCATATGATACAAATGGTTGATTGGATTGAATATCTATAGGTTTGGCACTTTGTTTCCACTTTTTAGGAATAAATTTCTGGATTCGGGATATAGAGAGCTCTTGTAACAATAAACGAGATGATGAAGATGGCATACACTACATAAGTATGTATCATGTGTCTTACAAGAATAAATGAGAACTGGCTGCATCACTTTACCAGCATCAACCCCACATAAATTGGAAAACATGTCAGTAGACAACAACTTTGGCACCTGAAGAATTTAAATTGAGACCACACACATTCGGATAAGATCTTCTGCAAAATTTAAAGTTTCACCTGAAAATGAGAAGATAAAATATAAGTGATAAAAAGCCTTAATCGTTCGCAAACTCAAGCTCAATGATCATATTTAGACTAAATCAGACTGGTTAAAAAAAAAAAAAAAAACTAATGGTACAACAAGCTCAATTTACCAAACTAAAAGCCAATAATCTTTTTAATGATGTTATTATACAACATCCAAAAGCATGGTATAAGATAAGTTGCCAAAGGTGCAAGGCATAGTCTGATATAGTATTTTAACCATTACACAAAAGCATTTTGTTATCATGAGGATAATCGTTTTTGAAAAATTAACTACTTTTCAAATGATAGTCACACAATAACAGGATGCTATAGCCAACATTAATCGTAACCTTGCTATTATTTAAGTAATAAAATGCCTCAAAATCTTAGAAGGAACCTTTTTAAGAAATTACAGGTTACTATACATATAACCACAATATCAAACATCAAAAGCACTAGATCAACAATAGCATACAAATAACAGTAAACTAACAATGTCAATAGAATAACAGTAATCTAACAATGTCAATAGCATACAATTAACAGTAAACTAACAATGTCAAAATACTGTGTCATTAAGACATTAAAGTAGGAAAAGAACATGATTAAATTTAGGATTAAGGTAGCCCATTTTTAACACCAGAAATCATGTTAAACACACACCAAAAAAAAAAACCAATTACAACATATTATTAGCAACTAAAACATTGAACAAACGCTCAAGCTTATACTTACTATTAAACAAAAATATCTTAAACATTATCAAGAAGGCTAGGGCTCAAAAGAAGCCAAAAAAGAGAGAAAATGAATGCAAACAAAAAATAAGGTAAACCCAACAAGGGGCGAACTTCAAATATTAAGAAAAGCACGTAAAATGAATACAATTGGTTATTTTGACATTTCATCAAACACCATGAATGCTACTGTTAAATTAAAAAGAAAGAAGTAAATATATTGAGAGAGTGAAACCAGTGTTGATTTTACATTACCCGAGGATTGGAGAAGTGAGAGACGGGGTTTGATTGGGTAACATGATAGACATCAAATGGCTTCAACAGCAACAAAAGCTTTCTTCTTGCCTGAACCTGAAGCGGCCGACGCCTGAGTGAAGGAAAAACTTGAAATATTGTTAAAGAGGATGTACGGAAATGTTCAGGTTGCTTTGTATAACGAAAAGAAAAGTGAAAAAACTAATATTAGCCCAAAAACAAGCTATGGGCTTGAACAAGATCCAACAAGCTGAGAAAAAAAAAATTGTTTTGGATCAAGCTCTCATTATTATTATTATTATTATTATTATTTTACTGAGTTTTGGATTAATTAGTATATTATTAAAGTTTGATATTTGAAATTTATGAATTTGAGAGAGTTTATATTGTAATATTCTTTTTAATAGATAAATAATAAGGTAAAAAAGTTTAAAGGTAACTTCAAAAAAAAAAAATTTTCAAAAAGAAAATTTTTAAAAATTTTAAGTTGAATGTTTTTATGTCAATTAATAAGACAAATGATATTTTTTCATAAAGTCTTTCAATTTTATTTTTCCATTAGCATCTTACCTTTCTTTTTATTTTATTTTTAACTTTGAAATATTTGAATAATTTTTTTCTTTCCTATTTTTTATTTTTCTTTAGTTTTTTTTTTTCTGTTCCAAATTTCATAATACTCTTTCAAGTTAATTATTAAATTAATTTTAATTTTATTCCAGTACATACTTTATTACTTTCAGGTACTTTAAGTATATTCAAATAAATACATTACGCTTGAGCCTTGTCGCCTAATCACCTCTGCTGTTATCAAGGAGCTTTTATTTTTTTATGACTTTTTTTTTTTTTTTTTTAAATTGAGTGGAATGGAGAATGTTGAAATATGCAATCACATGATCTCGGACTTGAAAATGGGAATTTTCCTAGAAAATTTTGGATCCTGGTAGAAATTTGAATGATAAGTTAGCGGAAATTGTAAAGAAATTCTCTACTAATTCATGTTTTTCTGTGATCAAACAAAACTATTCAGTGTCTTTTCCAGTTATGTTCAATTCGATTCATAATTTATAGAGTTTCAGAAATGCTACCAATAATTCAGACTGTTCTTGAGGCAAACTGAATAAGCGACAAAGAAAAAATTGTTCATCACATCAGTGAGAGAGTATCAACAATTCATCAGCATGGTAGATGGCCTGCATTCTTTAGTAGATCTCCTAAGCTGAGACTTTACATCACTTGATGCCAAAGGTAGCTCCCCTTGTTTATACTTTTAAGTAAAAAAGATTGCTCCCTGCTCAAAAACTAATTACATCCGATTCATTACTAATTGTGGTTGGCTCATTCATATTCTCAAGTTCTGTTTCTTACTCATTTTCACCATTTGTGACTTTTTTTTGTGAAATCTTTATCGATGTTAAAACATCACATTCAATAGTAACCCACGTAGTTTTTTCATTTTTCTCAAAGTTTACTATGATTTTTTTTATGAAAGATCACATCTCTGCTTCTGACTATTTTGTTTTTCACTTCATCCCATAACCTGTAGCCAAATTTTTCATCATCATATCCCATTAAATACACACTATGTGGCTTTACTATCAAGCTTTGACCTCTGCTCTTTCGGCATATGTATGAATATTTTACACCCAAAAACTTTTAAGTGAGAGTATAAAGCATTTTTCCCTGTCCACATTCTTTTTGGAATGTCAAAGCCCAAAAGAACTGATAGTGATCTGTTAAGTAAATAACAAGCTGTGTTGACTGCTCACCCCAGAATAGCTTTGGTAATTTTTGCCATCCTTAACATGCATCTGACTTTTTTCCATAATGGTGTTGTTCATCTTTTCAGCTACACCATTATGTTATGGTATTTCAAGTTTTATCATCTCATGCCTGATCTTTTACTTTGAACTATACTCTTCAAAAGTCTTTGGATGCGTATTCTCTACCATTATCAGTCTAAATATACTTTAAGGGTAACCCTATCATCCTTTCCATCATGAAATGAAATTTTTAAAAATACTACATTATCTAATTTTTATATTTTAATATATACACCAAAATCTTACGTGAAGCATCATCAATAAAAGTAATAAAATACCTGCTACCACCTAATGACACAATCTCAATGGATCACATACGTTAGAATAAATCAATTTCAAACTATTTTCTTTTCTCTGAAAACTTTTACGAAAAGAAATTTTATGATGCTTACCAAACAACTAATGATCACATGAATTGAGAGACATATCTTTGGTCAAGGGAATGGGAGACTACTTTGCCAAAACCTATAACCCCTTCTCATTCATGTGTGCCAGCCTTTTGTGCCATAAGTTTATTGAAACATCATCTTCAAGGACATTTACATGGTTGTTGTTCAGTTGTATCCATGTCTTATACATTGTGCAGTATAGTTTTCCCCTTGTAACTACCATAGATCTTTTGAAAAGCTTCCACTGCCCATTCTTTTATCAACTCTCATATCCCTCTTTATCAAAGACATTAATAGCAAGCAAGTTAATTCTCATATCCAGAATCTATCTAACATCCTTCAAAGTTAACATGTAGCCAGTACTAGTTTGTACAATAATATCACTAATCCCAACAACATACTCTTATTTTTTATTTTGGTGCAACTAAAGTCTCCTGCTCTATAAGTTGTACACAATGATATACCGTTCCTGTGTCGACTATCCACTAAATACCGAGATAACTAAAATGATTATAATCCACATGTGTACAAATCAAAGTAACTGAATCTGAATTCACTATTGCAACATTGTCATTATCTGAACTATTGCATTTCTTATCTTTTCGCTCTTGCTTCAAGATTTTACAATGTCATTTTATATGACCTGCTTTTATCACAATGAAAATACTTCACTTTATCTCTAGACTTAGATCTATATTTAGACTTACTACAACCTTTTGAGTTCTGACCTCTGTCGATGTTTTTACTTTTATTTTTTATGACCAAAGCTTGATTCTCAGGATCTACATCTTTTCACCTTACTTCTTCATTAAGCATATTGTCCTTTATCATATCAATGTCATCTTGTAATTAGGAGCTGAATTAAGAACAGTCACAACTAGAATATTCTAACTATTTGGCAATGAACCCAAAAGAAACAATGCTTTCATTTCATCATCCATCTTAAGCTCAATAGTAGTCATTCGATTAAATATATCTTAAAAATCACTTAAGTGCTATGTAATTGATTGTCCAATCTTGTACTGTAAAGTTGTAAGCTTTTTAACAAGTATAACTTTATTCATAAATATTTTTCTCTCATACAATACTGTCAATTTTTTTCAAACAATGTGGGTATCTGCCTCCTGTGCTACATGATGAAACATGCTGATATCAACCCATTTTCTGATTGTAACCAGCATCTTTCTACCTAACTTCTTCTAGTTTTCATCTTTTATATCTGTTGTTTTAGCCAAATCACCTAATACTGACTCATACAAATCTTTACAGTATAAATGATCTTCTATCATAGTCTTCCAAATTGAATAATTTGATGTTGTCAAATTTATCATGAAATCTGTATCTTCCTCCATGATCTCAAATAAAATTTACTTCTATCTTGGGCTGTTTCTATATCATTGTCTCAAAATAATCCTCACTCTAATATCACGTGTTGGGCCTGAAGTAATAAACACAATAACGCAGAAGTAATATATCATAATAAACCCACAATAATAGACAATAATCAATAATCAACAATCAACAACACAAGAAAAATAAAGCACACTAAGATTTACGTGAAAAATCCTATAATGTAGAGGAAAAAATTACGAACCACCAGAAAAATCTTCACTATCAAATAATAGATATATAAAGCTTTTCTATATCTAAAATTAGAGCTAATCAACAACTAGAGAGATAATTGGAGAAATCTTACCAAATAAGTGACTCAAAAATATACTTTGGATTTGTTCCTAGAGAGCTTCGAACCCGATCTTCATCGTTCAGAATGTAGAACTCTGAATCATAAAT